TAAATCTCCCCTCTTCTAGTTTAAGGTTATCACCCCTTGTCCTGTTGCAACAAGCCCTACTAAGAAGACTGTCCCCAGCTTTCTTACAGGCCCCATCAAATAGCTGAATGCTGGTTGAACTCTGGCTGTGTGGTTGGCCTGGAGTGCAAACCTGTCCATTTCCCATATTGGGATGGGAGGAGAATCCCAGTGAGATTTTAGAAACTTGTGATTTAGCCCTTCAGGAAGGAGTGAGATGAGCTGGTCCAGTCACCTGCTGTGGCAGAAGTGCAGGAGCCAGAAGGGCAAAATAGAGACAAGCTGCAAGATGGCCAAATGGCAGTGTCACACAAGGGCTTAAGTAAGGTCACTGGCCACTGTAAGGCCAAATATTGGGGATTGAAATGAGATTCATGAGGGCTGTTTTTTTCTGAGCCTGGAAGCAGAGCCTGGGAGTGTGGAGCAGGGGCTTGGGTGCCCAAAGGGCTGCCTCACTGTTCCTTAGAGGACACAGTGGCTCAGGAGTAGGTATGGAACAGGCTTGTCTCTGCCTGAAGCCACATCTGGTAGGCAGGGTTAGTATCTCTTTTGTATTCGTATAATCTCTGCTAGAGCGTGGTCAACTTGGACACTTTGAACTACAGCAGCATCCTGAAACTTTACCCCTGGTGTCTTTCCCCCTTGGGTGTCTGCAGGTGGCCCAGCCTGTGGGTGGGAAGAGTCAAAATATCCTTGGAAAGCCACTGGAAAGGTCACTGTTCTTTAATCTGGAGCTGTGACTTAACGAGCTTTTTCCTTTCAATTGGTAAGAGGGGCCATGTGGGGATTACTGGTGCTATACATAGATTGCTCTTGGCTCTGTCCTCTTCTGCTGGGAACACTTAAGAGCTGTGTCAGCCTCGGGGCTGTGGACCCTGCATGCTGCTTGCCTGTTGTTGGCCCTTGGCAGAGTGTTTGCCAGCACTTGGTGGGGCACTGGCAGGACTAAAAGAGGACAACTCTGAGGTTGGAAGCACTCAGAATTTGGGTTTCCTCAACGGGAAATCCATCAGAAAGGACAAACATGTGGGCTTGCTACTGCTTCCCAGGATGGGACTCAAAATGCAACTCCGAGCTTGATTTGATGGGTTTTTATCTGAACACGAGGGTTTTGTGGGTTTTTTTAAGTGCCTGTTTAGCCCCTCAGGGGTTTGGCCACAGTGTTGGATCCTGTGTGTGCACATGGAGATAAGCAAAGGCGTAATCCAGAACTCCTCTGCTTGATAGACCCTTATCTCAGAGCATGTGCTGTGCATGTTGGGTCCCTGAGGGGGTGCTGGCTGTGTAAACACAGTTTCTGGTTTTAATATTGAAGTTCTGAGACAGTTCCACTTTATTGGCTCTTAAATTAGTGTGGGGAAGCACCTGAAAGTGAGCTCCTGGCCAAGGACATAGACACAAGCAAACCTTCTATAGCTCGTCAAGGAAATGGCTGGTATTGGCTAATGAGAGTGTTTTGAACTTTTTTTTAGGATACTGTTGAAATTACAGCCTGTTCCACAGAGCTCATTAACACTTTAGTGTGGGGCACTTGGATCTCTGGTTGCCAGGTAGCACATTGGTAAGAGTGTGTGTGAGGGAACTTCCACTCTGTGCATGGAGATGAGTGTTCTGCTTTAGTATTGAGGTTGGATTTGGCTACAAATGCTCTGTGTAAACACCTTTAAATCCTTGAATTCCAGTGGATCAGAGCAGAAGCAGGAAGTGCTGTCCTAGGTGAAGCTGCTTAGCACAGGATATGTAACTTGACTTTTTTCCCCATCAAAGCTAGCAGCCACTGAAGCAACCCTGTGCTGCCTGTTGCTGAAGTGTGGACTGGCTGCAGAAGAGAACTCAAACTAAAGAAAACACATATATAGATAGACACACACCCCATAGCAAGCACAGACTACTCAAAAAGTGTTCAACTTTGCAGCATAGTGCTGCACTACCTCATAAGTTCTGTACATCAGTGGCACTGAGGAATCTAGCAAGGCTCTTGGACTGCAGTGAGGGAGCTGAGTAATGAGACCTTACGTAGACCTTGTTTTGAGATTTGAGGGACAGTGTCTTGCTTAGCATCTGGGATTCCTCCAAGGAGACAGCTTCTCTTGAGGACAGAAAATAATATTTACAAGTGCAGCTAAAAATGAGGTTTCCTGTTGGAGCGTGGGGATGAGTCATTGTGGTTTTAAGTCAAGGGGCAGGACCTTCCTTTTGCTGTGGCACATTTTTACTTCCAGATGTGCTCTTGGAGCAGCAGATTCAGGTGTTGGTCACTCTTGTCCCTGCTACTGAGAAAATAAGGCTGTGTTCAGAAGGTGTCACCCTCCAAGATGGGTCTTCACCATGGTGGTGAGCACGTGCTTGATGACAGTCAGTGGAGAGGGTCTAGCTGTGGCTCTCCCAGTCTGTCCAGTTACACCAGCAACCTTTTAGAGAACTACTTGGGGTTTTGGAACCTATGTCTGCTGTGATCAGCATTAGCTGTGTTTTCCCTTTGCTCACCCCACATGGCATTTTTGTCTGCATCCAGCCAGGTCTCCCCCAGGAGGGGAGGAAGACTCTGGATGTCACCAGCTGTATTCCTGCCTGGAGGTTTGAAACTGGCCTCCCTGTTTCATCAAGGGTTTTTTATTGCTGGTTAGATGCTGAAGTAGACTGGAGAGCCATGTGTATGTGGAAGCATTAAACGTTTCTGTGCAGTTCTTGTAGAAAAACATCCAAAAAAAAAAGTGTTTAAAACTGAAGTGCTGGTGAAGAGCATTAAAGCTGTGCCAGAAATGTTCTCCAGTAGCACCGTTAATAGCTGTTGATTTGTAGGAGGTAGTCTCTAGCAATCCTGAAGGTGTTAGTCCTGTGGGAGGAATTACCTCTCTTGTGTGTACAAAAAGGGACATGATTTTTCATCCTCCTACCTATTTGATGTGTGGTCCTTTTGTCTTTTAAAAATGCCTGAATAGCACTGCTGAGGATCTGAAGACAATTTACTTGTAGGGTAAAAAAAAATGCAGTTTTTTATAGGAAATGATTACAAATTCACTGGAAAAGGGCACTATTTATATTTCATTAAGGAGATTGCAAGCAGGCTTTAGCATTCATTCTCTTTCTGTACTTGAAGATGCAGAGAAAATGGTAATTTGTTTCTCTTGAACTGGTGAGGAATGAGGAGCTCATCTGGTCTGAGGAATACTCCGACTGCAGTGACATTTATGTCGATGTGTAAGGAAGAATACCAGAACACCACCTCTTTAAAGCACTGCTTTTAGTGTTCCCTGGTATAGCTCGAAGCAAGATGGGCACATGCCATTGTTGCTGCTGATCTGCTTGGGGAAATTCATAATTTTATAGCAAGTCCTGTGCAGCAGTGACACTGCCATGAGGAGGGCAACCCCCACGACTTGCTGGCACAGCTTCTGGCAGGCAGCTCTGGTCGTAGCTCCAAGTAGCTCAGAAGAGAAGAAATAACTTGCAAGAAGGGGGGAAAAGAGGTGAAACATCTGTTTTGTCACCCGGGCAATTTGCATTTCTAGACACCATGGGTAAGAAAAAGCAGCCAGGTTTTGTTCATGTCCAGAACTCTGGTGTATCTTTTCAAAATAGTGTGGTTTGGTTTCTTACCCAGCTCTGGCTGGAGAGGGTGAAAGGCAGAGTCCCTGGGACTAGCAGCTTGTCAGGCTCTTTGGAAATCCTGAAGTGCTGGGCTTCAAGACCAGACTTAATCCCAAATAGGTTTTTTTTTGATCTTGAACACAAATCGACTGAAGCTACAAATAGCTTTGCTGTGTAACAACTCTTCCATAGCTGTTAATAATTCATAAATCCATTTTCCTTTAACTGTTTTGTTTTTATTTTCCCTGGGCACCCACCCAAGGTGCCATGCTTTTGCTTTGGTGTTGGATGTTGACTTCCAGACATGAGAGCCTGGCCTTGATGTGAGCCAGACAGATCCTAGAGCTCTGATGCAGTTGATAAAAATGGGGAAAAAAAATCAAAATTCAATTTTTTAGATCTTGTCAAACCAGAGTCCTGTAACTTTTGTTTCCTGTGCTGCTTCTACATTGACTTCCATGGTGATATTGTCCTCTAGCTGAGTTACTGTGACACCTGGGGAGAAAACCTTGGACTTGAATGCAGGTGGCTTGTGCTAAAAACACAAGCACAATGTATGCTTAAACAAAAGCAGAAAATAAGGAATCCCATAGCTGTGGTGTCAGCGTTTTGCTGGTGGCAGTTGAATCAGAGTCCATTGTTCCTATGGAAATTGCAGTCATAGTTTCACAATTCATTTGTAAATCTCTACCAACAAAGAATGACTTTGACAATAGTAATGTGTCTTACTTTGGCAACGTCGATTTTTTTACTTAAATGTAATATCCTATTACTGTTACACTAAATCACATGATTCCCACTATTATTCTCCTCGAGTCTTCCATTGGGGGATTTCAGATGGGTCCTGAATACTCTTTGCTTCCTCTAATAACTCTCTCTATTGTTCTCCGGGGAGATCTGTCAATTTTATTGTGCTGCCATCACAGGCTGTCAGTCTGCTGGCTCCTGCAGCTGGAGACAGCTGTGTTCTGAGTCAGAACACACAGATGTTCAGGCATACAGGTACACCTCTATCTGGCTATAGATTGGTAAAAAATGACTTATTCCCTTGCCTTGATGGAGGGGGCTTTTGTGGGGGGGGTTGGGTTTGTTGGTTGGTTTTTTTTCCTGTGTGAGATTTTTAATTAGAATTTGGAAGCTTTCTAGGTGTTTAATGTCTTTATATGTTGAAGACAGTTAATAAAGTTGGTATAAATGTCTTTCAAATGTACTAGAGGGGGAGACAAGTTCTTGGCCTTTTTAGGAACTTCAAACTCTTAAGAACTCTTCCAAATAAAGAAAAAATAATCAACCCTTGCCATTTGTCCTAAGAGCTCATAGATCTGTTGCAGTTCAACTCGGAGGCCATGAACTAACCCTGTTCACTCTTGGTGGTGTTGTGCATTTTGCAGAAGGCGTTTTATCTCCCAGCGCTGCTCTCTAGACTTTTTAGAAGACATAGTGGAGTATGCCAGTGTACGAAGGTACTTTTTTTCTTCAAAAGCAGCATTAATCTCAACTCGTTGCATGCAGTCCTCTCCTCCCTCCACCTTCTTCCACACCAGTCTCTGAGGTCCTGCATGCTAGTGCTGCCATCTGATCATACCACTGGCGTGGCTTGATTTCAGAGCATTGAACAGTGTGTTGGTTTTTATAATTGCAGAACCAAGCATATATCTGGCTCGCCAAGACACAAAAGTTTGAAGAAGATGCACTTCATCAAGAACATGAGGCAGTATGACACCAAGAACAGCAGGTAACTTCTGGAGGGCAAGGTGCCTCCTCTGCTTGGGTGAAGTAGGACTTGCTCAGCCGTAGGCTCTAGTTAATGCAATCAGTCATTTAATATCAGTAGAATCCTAGGATGGTTTATGTTGGAGAAGACCTTTAAGGTCATTGAGTCCAGCCATTAACCCAGCATTGCCAAATCCATAGGGTGATGTCCTTGGGATCCTGTTAGTTTTATACATGCATCTACCCAAGGTTCTTGTGTCTGCTACACCTGCAGTAGTGTTCTGATCGTTCTGCCATCCTGCTCTGAGGAGGTTAAATCATTCCCTTCTAACACCCTCCTTATCTCCAGCACACAGAGAGGGCAGAGCTGGGGAGGATTTAAGGAGCAGGGCTTGGTTTAGCCAAATTCATGGCTCATAGTTGCTGGGCAGAAGGGAAAGGAGAAGCTGCATTCATATTATCAATAGAGGTGTGAGACTTCATCTAAATGTAAAATATCACCTACATCTTTTCACAAGGTTTATGTAAAAAATACATAAACATAGATGTATGTTTAAAGACTCCTTTGAGGAGCTCCCACGGTGATGGCAGTTACTGGACACTGGGGTTTGGTACAGAGCTTGGCTCCAAGGAACTCAAGGTCAGAATGAAACCTTTTGCTTTTGTGCTGCTTCCTGAAAAGATAAAATCCACAGCAATATCTCTAACTTAGAGCAATTTAAGAGTTCTGTGCTCATGTTCCATTAAAAGCTGCTTTGTAACTTCTGAATCTTGATTATTCTCCTGATCTTTTCCTCTCTACCTACAGGATAGTGTTAATCTGTGCTAAAAGAACACTCTGTGTGGCTTTTTCTATCCTACCTTACGGGGAGAGTTTACAGATCAGGTGAGTCATCTTTCACTGCTTTGTGAAATGTCTGGTCTATTGTTTGCAGATCTTTTTTCATTTGTATGGTTGGTGTAGGTCTCCTGTTTTGTAAAACCTTTTATGTGTAAGGACAAGAGCTTGCTATCAGAGCAGTAAAATCAGACGGTGCCACAGTGTCAAACTCATTCAAACTCCAAGAGAAAGAGTGGAAAAGGTAGACTTTGCTATAGCTGTTTATTCACATTTTAAAACACTCTGGTCCTGTGAAATGCCTGAAGCCAGCTTTGAACAGATGATGTGTAGGGTCTCCTGTATTCCTACAGTGGTCAGAAATCAACTGTCTTTAGTGCAGCAAACAGTGGTGTCAGGAAAAAAGCAGAGAGAGCATCAGGGAAGGATGCTGCTGCCCTGACTGGAAACCTCCAGGGGTTTGAGAGTGAAGTGACATAAAAAGTTCTTCTGGTTTTCAGCTGTAAGCCACGAATGTCACTATTGACAATCGAAGAAACACTGAAATAGTTCAGACTGATTGAAACTGCTTTTAGTGTTTGTGCTATTTTTGTCCAGAGCTGTCAATATGATGGATTGTAAGAAGCAAAACCTGCTCACTGGAGTTCCCTGCAGCTCTGCTCAGTCCCTCGTGAGGTCTGAGTTGATTCCATGGCAGTTCTGTGATCTACAAATATACCAGAGAAAAGACTAATTTTATTCCAATCCAATTTGAGCAAAACAATCGTGTTGTCACTTCTGTCCTGTGGATAACTTACGGGTGAAGGAAGAGGATGTTTAGTGGTGGGAATTGTATTGTATGCAAATACACTTGCCATAAAAATAGTCGATGGGAAAATCTTCTCTCACCTAATAGAAAAGCAGCAAGGTCACTGGAGCTGTTTTAGAGCAGTTCTGAGCACTGTGTTCTGCCTGTAAGCTGGCAGTGCAGCTCTTCAGCTGAAAGCTGCCTTCTCACATTGGAATATAGGTGACAAAGCTGCAGGCTGCTGTCGCTGCAGCACAGTTCTGCTGCAGCCTGAATTCCTAATTTGATCTTGTGTGCACTGGGGTTGGAAAATTGCAATCCAAAGGCAAGTTTCTAATCCTGGAGAACTAGTCAAATAATGTTGGCTGTGAAGTTTTAAGCATTAGTGTTAGGGATACAGAAAGATCATATTAAAAAAAAAAAGGCAGTTTACTTGTGATGGGTATATTGATACAGATTTGAGTTAAAATGAGATGAAATGTGATTCTCCTGTTAATAGACATCTCCATGCTTTGAAAAGAGTAGTTAAAAATTAATGCTTTCTTGGGGGGGGGATTGAGGGATTGCCCTGTTCTCACACAGAACTCTGACCTGGTGGTGTTGGCCATAAGTAGTGGCTGGACCAGGTGCTTCCCAGAGAGGAAGGTGGGCTTGTGCTGCATTTTATAACCATGTGCTCTCTCATCTGCCTTCAGTGATCTAAAAATGGAAGGACAGAAGCAACGACATCCTTCTGGGGGAGTTTCAGTCTCCACTGAGATGGTGCTTGGACTGGAAGGAGTAGAGCTTGGTGCTGATGGCAAGGTAAGGAAATTTTTGGGGTTTTGTATGGTTTTTTTGTCTCTTGATTTGTAATGTCAGTGACCAAACCACTGACCAGAGCATGGGACAGCAGGTGGGTACCCTGGCTGCATTCACCCCGGGACCATTTCATGCTGGGTCTAATCACTGCATTTATGCAGTACTTTGCTACCCCTAAGATGAAAGCTGTGATAGTTCAGAGCACTGCAAGTTTGTTTAGATCCTTAGTTTGAAATGTTTGGCTTGTGGTAAAGCTGCTTCTGAGGAGGCTGTTGAAGCCTGTGATTTCTTCTGCCTCCTGTTTCTGGAGAGCTGCTTTGACTTTGGCATCTCAGGCAACACGTGAGTGATGTTTTGATAGAAATAGGGGTGAAATTTATACCCCTTAGTTAAATTTATATATTGCCAGAATTCTAGTGATGTGATTCTCCCTTTTTCTTTGCTACCCATCAACTTTTCTGCAGCACTTTCATAGTGAAGCTGGAGAAGCAAGACATTCCTCAGCCAGCTTTTCCCTTTCCTCCTAGCCCATGATTTCAAGGTCAAGGGGACTCAGAGCTGGAAAATCCTACATGTCTGGAAGTAAGCTTTTCAGTAACTTTTCCCCTGTAACTGCTACGACTCTCCTCTTTAAGGTTGTGTCCTATGCAAAGTTCCTGTACCCGACCAACGCCCTGGTTGTTCGCAAAGCCGAGGGCCACGGTGCTGTGCCCCCCTGTCGAGCCAGTGCTTCCCGGAGCCTTCCTGCAGCCAGATACAAACCTGTCACAGCTAAAACCATACCAGCAGGAGCAGACATTGGTAAGGACAGCCACTGGTTCTGTCACCACTTGGACACCCACATTCCTCTTATGCTTTTCTGCTATTTGTCTGAAACTATGGCAAGTGGCAAAGTGTGTTCCTAGGAAGGAGGTGCTGCAGCTGGAAGGAGAATGGTTTTAGTACAGCCCAGTAAAGAGCCTTGTTAGTGAAGTAGAAATAATGAGCCTTAGGACTGAGACTTGGATGCATTCCTCACACCCTCTGTATATCTGGCCTGGTTCTGTTTATGCAATGCAAGGAGCCCAAAGCATTTCCGTGGAAATGTGAAGTTTTGTGTTTCTCAACAAGAAACATCTGGTGTCCATGGATACGAATGGTCCTCCTTGCCTTCCAGCACAGGAACAATGCAGAAGCCAAAGAGTTTGTGACAAGAATCCCTTCTCTAGTGTAAGAGAGCAAACTCTGCTAGAGTGCAGGCTATAGGATCCAGTCTTGTGCAGTTGTTTTCTCTGGGTATTTGTGGGTGATGAACTTAGTTTGCAGTAAGTCTAAAATGGTGGGTCAGGAACGTGCTGGAGGAAAAAGCTTGTGTGGGTTTTTAATAATTCTAACCCCTGACTGGTGCATTTAGGAAATGCCACCACGTGGCTCTAGCTGCAGGTTGCCTGTACTGTGAGATCTGCTGAAACTCATGGTGTTTGCTGTTTGAAAACATTTTCAAAGGGACAACAGGTAATTTAAGGCTCTGTATCTTGTGACCCAATGTGCTTTCATTGTTCTGTCAGGAAGTGAAGCTGGGGAGGCTGCAGAGTATGATCCAAATCTTCTGGATGATCCTCAGTGGCCCTGTGGAAAACACAAACGTGTTCTCATCTTTGCCTCTTACATGGTGAGTTTTCTGTCAGCCTCGTGGCTGAGGATTTGGCAGGGTTTGCACACTCAGGCTGTTCAGGACCAGCCTGACACACATCTCCATGTTGTCATTTGCTTCTTGTAAGCAAGTGGTTACAAATTTCTTAAAAACTTTGTAGTTGAGATTCAGCATGGTCTCAGGACATTACAGAAATGTTAAATTGCAAATACCAAAACTGAGGTTTGCCTTTGCATTGTTTTTGGAAGACTTGTTTGGCTGTCAGCACTGTTCACAAGAGAAATGGTAAGTTTTGCCTCTTGTGTTTCAGACTACAGTCATAGAATATGTGAAACCGTCAGACCTTAAAAAGGATATGAATGAAACCTTCAGGGAGAAGTTTCCTCACATCAAGCTGACACTGAGCAAAATCAGGAGGTAAGAAAGAAGCTGTGAATAATGAGAATATCTACTCTGTACAAGGCTGCTTGGATCTTCCATTTGTACAGAGCAAATACTGGATCTATTAATAGTATATATGATTAAGCACTAATCTTTTGTTGCCACTCGAGCTGACTGGAGGATGACAGCCCTGTACAGGAATGGTTAGGATGCTGAGATAGGGTGACAGTTGGTTTTCATAGTTCCATCTAAAAGGGTTTTCTTTCACCAGCTCTGGTGTACTGACACTCATAGCCAATTAGCATTGAAGCAGCATTAGCCTTGAAACAAATACTTGTAACCTGATTGTTTGGCTGCAGTGCAGTCCTGCTGGCACTGGGCTGTCTGTCTGGACCCCCTGGTAACTGAAAGGTCACTGATGACCATGGAGACTAACAAAGTTTCTAGGATGAAGAGTGCTAGGTCTGGGGTAAAGAAGAGCATTCTGTGAAGGCAGGACTAGGCACCCAGACTTCCTCACCTTCCAGGAGCTGCCTCTGGCCGCTCACCAGCGAGCTGTGCTGTTGCACCTTCAGGGAGCTCTCATCTCACTGGTGTGACACGGTGTTGATGCAGTCAGGGCCTCCTGGAATAGCCAGCTGAAACACTTCTGCTGAATTGCCTGGGCTGTGTCTAACTCGGCTCCAAGTGGAGGGTTTGTTCAGGCAGAGTCTGTGTTCTGCCAGTGTCCTGCATGCTCCTCTTTGGAGCTGTTCTGAGCAGTGTGTTCCTGCAGAGATCTTGCAGGTGTAGCATGGATGGGATGGCTACCACGCGAGGTAGCCTCCAGCCTCACTGGTGGGGTGAAGGGCTAGCTGTTGTGGGGAGCATGTAACCCCTTCTGCTCTCCCCCTCAGAGCTGATTCTTCCACGAGGTGTGCAGCAGCTGCTGGGATCTGCATGGCCTTGATGTGGCCTTCTGTAGGTCAGGGTGGCTCAGTGAGGCAGTAAAGCCCCTGGTCTTTATGGACAGATGAGGAACTGTCCTTCCATCGTAGGTGTTGCCAGCCAGGTTAAATCAGTTTGTGCATCAGCTCCAGCCTGCTGCCAGCTGGACTTCTCCAGTCTGGGATAATACTCATCATGGTTTTCCAAAGAGGAGCCTTGCCAGGATGCTCTTCTGAGCTCCCATGCTGCAGCAGCTCTAGAGTGTTTGAGAGGAGCTGTCGTGTCTGAGGGTGTCTTTTGTCCTGCTGCAGTTTAAAGAGAGAGATGCGGAACCTGAGTGAAGAGTGCAGTCTGGAGCCAGTCACTGTCTCCATGGCTTACGTGTACTTCGAGAAGCTCGTCCTCCAGGGCAAGCTCAACAAGCAGAACCGCAAGCTGTGTGCTGGGGCCTGTGTCCTGCTGGCAGCCAAGATCAGCAGCGACCTCAGGAAACATGAAGTCAAACACCTCATCGACGTGAGTACCGAGCCTTGCTCCGGGTGCTGCCACAACCTCCTCCTGAGCTCACAGATCAGAGCCAAGATTTTCAGCAGTGCCTGCTTGCATTTAAGACCAGCTCCTTTACTCAGTTTTAGGTCTCGTTAGGGCTCTTCCCTGATGTATTTATTGGAATTCATTAAAACTTACCTGAGTGACCCCCCAGCGGGGTTGTGTTTGCACCGTTTCTCAAGCAGGCACGTGGCGCTGTTGTGTGGGAGTCCCAGCTGAGCTGATAAGCTGGTTTACTCCTCTCATCCCTGGTGCCACTTTGGTTCTGTAGTTCCACGCATCACTGACTCCCCTTTTGTGCTAACTTACTCTAACAGTGCATTGATAGCTTGTGGATTAACTGATTCTTTCTCCACCCTCTCCTTTGTTGTGTTTTTATTACCATCAGAAACTAGAAGAGAGATTCAGATTCAACAGAAGGGATCTCATTGGGTTTGAGTTCACCGTCCTTGTCGCTTTGGAACTGGCTCTCTACCTTCCTGAAAACCAAGTTTTACCTCATTACAGACGGCTCACACAACAGTCATAACCAAAGCTGGGTCCCAGCTGGGGACCCCCTCGCCGGGCGTGCTGCTGGACCTGCCAGGGGCCACTCGGTGCCACTGTGCATCCTGCCTTGAGCACAGCCCCTCCTGGGGCACGAGGGCGAAGCTGGAGGTGTTAGGGACACGTGTGCCAAGCCTGAGGGGTGGTACGAGAAGAATTATTCAACTTGATTTTCTTTTGGACGTTTTCAAGCACAAATCTTCCACCAGTCAGCTGTCATGGCTGCTTATTATTCCTTATTTATCCTTTTGGGTTTACTAAAACTGTTCTTCCCTATGAAGAATACTATGGTATTGTTTCTTTTATTTTTTATTTTTTTTTAAGCCTTTATTATATTCCTTGAGACTAAAGGAAGCATCACCTCCATTCCAGTGCACCACGAAGTTCAGACGTTCCTAAGAATCTTCTCACGTTTTTATGTTAATGAAACACACAACTTTATTTTTTCAGAGATGTGCCTAAAACTGGCTGGTCTGGTACCAGTGCTTTTTAAGTTCATTACGTTCTTTCCTGGGGGAATCCTGAATATGTATAGCCATTTATTCTTTACCTGCATTGGCCTTGCATAGAAGGAAAACAATTCCAGTATATCTGCACTAACAATACACAGGGCATCTATTCTCTGCTGTACTAGAGATCTGAAGTAGCAAGACTGAAATTATTCTGTTCCAATTCAGTTGTGTATTCTTAAGGTATTAATAGTTGTTTTATTTGAAAAGGAAAGATGGTTTGAAAAGCTGTCCCAAAGTCCTCCATCCACTGAGGCAGCTGCAGTGAAGCCATTGCTGTCCTCATTCACTCCTCAGGGGGAGACGAGCGTGTGACAAGAGCAACTTGCTGCCAAATGTGTCCTTTGGGATTTTGTTTGTTCCAGTGTTCTGTGGTCTGCAGTAAGCACCTTTTTAGGACGACTCTTACGTGCTCCAGGCAAATCCTGACGTCAGCAGAGCCTCTCCTGCCAAACCCATGATGAAACCAAGCACCATCAGTACTTTAAATGCCACTTTACTCTGTTCTTCCAAGCATTGCATCACTGTGACAGTCCTAAAAGTGGCACTGGTTGAGCAGACACTGGCCCAGCATCACTCCAGTGCTTGCACAGAGTTAAATAACTTCTCTGACCACTGGCTATTCATTTATTTCTGATTTTAAACATCCAGGTTAGGAGTGGATTTTGGATTCCGTGTGGAACCTTCTGTGATCCTGGCTCTTGGGTTTATTTTCTGAAGCAATATTACAAGTAACTGTGTCCAATTGCAAGGAACAAAACTGATGCTTGGCTCTTAGGACTGAGAGATCTGTAATTTTAAGTTTGACTCCTTAAATGAAATGCTAAACCTCAGCCTGAGGTGAGGGACCTTCTATCTACTGTGTAAAGTCATGTAAATTCTTGTTCCTTGTATGAAATGTTGGTTGTAGCCAAACCCAAAGCTGAATCTTTTGCTCTTCAGCTGTGTTTTGTCTGAAGCTCATTCGGCTTCATTAGAATTGCAGCAAGCTCTCCTGGGGCCCCTTCCTCTCTCAGCAGGGCCCAAAAGATGTTTTCCATAGGTCAGAATTACAGTGGTGATCAAGCCATTTGTGACTCTGTTCAGCTGTGTGTAGCTTCAAGTTAGTTGTGTCAAATTTAACATGCTTGTGACTTCTGCCACAGGAGTTTCCAGTCTCCACGAGGGAGATGGCAGCTACCAAGTTAGACAATGAGCTTGCCAGTTATCTTCCAAAAGGTTTAAAACAATTGCCTACTAGTTAAACTTTCTACTGAATATAACTGTCCTTGCATGCAAGAAATAACAGTATGCTCAAACATCCAGTGTATCGTGAGCCTGCAGAGCAGCAAGCAGTGCTGAAGACAACTGGAGAGATCCACCAGTTCCCCAAATCCCCGGGGAGGGGCAGAGGCTGAGCTGGGCAGAATTCCTCAACACACTAAAACAGAACTGTTCTTATCTTCAGAATTAGTGAAACACTTCGGTTACAGTGGATGAAATCAGAAAACAGCTTTATCAGAACTTCTTTGTTTAGCCTGTCAAGAGTTTTCTGTAATAAAAGGAACTTTCTCACCACCCAAGGGACACCCCCTGGCTTTGTTGGCAGTCTCTGCTCAGTGGAAGTTTGCCTGGTTGCAGGGGGCTGGAGTTACACTCCCAGAATCGACGGTTTGGCACCCTCGAGCAGCGAGCTTTTGTTCTCCCTTTCAGCAGAACAAGTCAGGATAAGGAGCATTCAGTGACAGAACACGGAACGTTGTCTAAAGGTGACTCTTCCCCCCTCGCTCCCCAGCTGCAAAGCTCTCCGCTGCCGCCGGGGGAGCGGGCGGGGCACCCGTGCGGTTTATTTCTGTGGGAATATTTCCTGTTTTCACCTAAAAGCTGCCACCGTGTGGCAAAGGACTGTGCTGGAGCCCGAGCGATCAGCCCAGCCCCTCCGGCTCGGAGAGGAACGCGGGGTGGGGCCGAGGTCGAGCGCCGGGGGCGGGTGTTGATAAGAGGCTGTACGTTTTTATGTGGACGATATTTTTGTGGTTTTGTCTTATTTAAGTCTGAGTTGTAGCCTGTTCTGATTCCCCCTCCCCTCCATGAACTTGTGAAATTAAGATGCTGTGAAATAAACCTCGTTTTTTGGTACGTGTTTTATAGAATCATAGAATAGAACCATAGAGTCATTACAGCTGGAAGAGACCTCCAAGATAATCAACACCAACCATGACCACTAAACCATGTCCCCAAGTGCTACATTGTGCTTTTTCTGAACCCCTCCAGGGCTGGGGATTCCAGCACCTCCCTGGGCAGCCTGGGCCAACCCCTCACCACTCTGTCAGGGAAGAAATTCTTCCTAATATCTAATTGAAACTTTCCCTGGCACAACTTCAAAGAACTACAATGTCAGGGGTTGGAAGGGACCTCCTGAGATCATTGAGTCCACGGGACCACCTAGCCTAGGGCAGGTCACACAGGAATGCATCCAGACAGGTCTTCAAAGTCTCCAAGGTAGGAGACTCCACAGCCTCCCTGGGGAGCCTGTTCCAGTCCTCTGTAACCCTCACAGTAATGAAGTTCTTCCTCATGTTGATGTGGAACAAACTGTGCTCCAGTTTGTGTCCACTGGCCCTTCCTCCTATCGCAGGGCATAAGTGAGAAGCCCCTTCCTTCCTGTCACCCAGCCCGCATATATTTATGCACATTAATCACATCCCTCCCCTAAGTCTTCTCAACTTCAGCCCGTTTCCTCTCATCCTATTGATGGTTACCTGGGAGAGCAACGCCACCTGGCTCCAGCCTCCCGTCAGGGGAGAGCAGTAAGTTCTCCCCTCAGCCT